CCAATATATATATATATATATATATATATATATATATATATATATATATATATATATATATTAATCATATTGGCTGCGGCTTTCATTTGGTCAAGATTACTACACAAAAATTGGATTTTATTTTACCCTAGATAAAGTCACGCTAATCCCGAGACCGTAAATCAACCATGTAATTTGTATTATACGTTCACTCCTTAAACTTGAGATTCGAACTCAAGATAGAATAGACGCTTTTCGTCTCGTTTTACAGGTTGAACTATCGATATCAGGTTTGGGTACAAAAATTTTACTTTTTTATTTATATATGCTATTAATTATATTGGTATATCCCGAGATGATCTTTATAAAATATCGAAATACATACTAATCCAAGACAAAAGGCGGAAACTTGTTACACAAGTAACCCTAACAACAAAACAAAGAAAAATGTATTTACACAATATCTACTCGACCCTTCATTGCTTCTGGACTCTTCTTCTCCGGCGAATCTCCGGTGGCCGCCTCATCATCAATAGAGATAACAACATGAGGAGGATCAATTTCTCCGGTGCCGTCAAGAACAGGCTTCACGATTCCACGGCGGAGCAAACCATGTTGTCCTTTCTCCGGCGAAACCGTGGCGTCGAAGTTCGATTTGACGGCGAGTTCTTCCACCGTCTCGGAGATATCCTCGATGCATTTCACGACGTCGATTAGGATCGATGCCACAGTTGCTCCGGCGATGATCTCGAGAAGAAGATCATCTTTCAATGTGGATGGAGGGTTTATTAATAATCTGATTGCGTTTCTCAGATCTTCAATGGCTTCCTTGGAATTCTCTATGTGGGTTTTCACGAAAGGGTCCAACTTTCTCGTGGCTTTGATGGATTTGGAAATGGCTTTTAGGGCTTCTCCTGCTTCTCTGCTTAGATTCGTGCATGATTCTTGGATTCTGCTCTTGAATTCTTCTGGCGCCTGCTTCACATGCATGTACATTTCTTGTTATGTATCTATGCGTGTGTATATACATATATATAGATGATCGTTATAATGTAATCTTGACGTCGGGAACTGTTCTTTGGGTTCGACTGTTTTAGACTCGAAGATCCTTTAGCATTATGATTTTTTCTTTGTTATATTATGGTTTTCAAATATTTTCGGATTCAGATGTCTGAAATCATTGGATACGAATACAAATATCAAATTATGATACCCAAAACCTTTAATATCCGACCAGTGTTCACACCCTTAATGATCGAGGATGTTAGTTAATACGTACCCTAACATAGGAGGTAACGTAGCCGTTAAGGATTTCGATATGGAATGCGCATTGTCGAACCGAGGCTCCTATCTTCAGGTACTGTTCCCACGGATGGTATCGCCGGAAACGCCCATGCCTCGGTTCCCATCTTGCAAGATTCGCCTATTTCCAACATTTACTTAATTAGAACCACAATCGTGTAACATAACCAATATTCTCAAATCTTGAAATATATATACATATATACATACATACATACCTGAGTCTCTTCATTGCTCTTTGATGTTAGAACACTCTTGTATCCTTGAAGACGTGATTTTGCTTCCTTTGAGATCTTCCCCGTCGTTTGAAAGTATTCATCAGCGAATCCTACAACACAGAAGATACACATGCATGCATGAATACGTAAGCAATCTATGTATACACATGCATGCATATATATATAGAGAGAGAGAAAGAAAAGAAAAATGGGAGGTGGCCATGAAAACCACCTTCAAGGTAATGGCCAAGCTTTTCGATATTGTTAGCAACAAGGTTGTGAAGCTCTTCCCCGGCCCAAACTGGACATATAAGGATATTGACAAGTATACAGATCGTTCCACCGATCAGAATCGTCGACAGCCTTTGATGCGCCATAACTACGATTTCATTCGTACGGTACCCCGATACCGCGATTATACTGAATGTGAGTATGAATATCAAGAAAAAATAGTCGTATCTCTGCTTTATCCGCGGGAAAAACCTCGAGAATGTGGCGGCCGCTCCTAGTAGAAAGACTAGAAGAGTTATTACAACTCCCTCTCCTTCCCGTCCGAAGAGACTTGCGAAGTGTACGGCCCCAACGCCTAAGGCGCAGCCACTGAACGTTGCGAATCCTCGGTTTACACCTTTGCTTATTGTCCCGCCTAAACAGAAAAAAAAGGTTAAATTCTTGTCAATCCAAACCATTTGATAGGATTTATAACCCTAGTTAGATTACTTTTTAGCGTACTTACCGACGGTAAAATCGAAAACTACAGAAATCGTAATTACTGCCCAGATACCCGAAACTCCGAAAACGTTATAGAGCGGTCTAACGTAGTACAGTAGGGACGCCAATGTGAGAGCAACACCCACTTTCATGGAATGGATGACCCGTCTAGGGTCCTCTTTCCCGAGCTTCCGCACGTTTTTTACGCACTTGAAAACGCGGGTTTTTAGGCTCTCGGGAAATTTCTCGGGTCTTTGCAATGCCATTGTCTTGTTCTTTAGAGAATCTTGGTGAATCTCCTCCGTTGAGAAATGCAGATGATTGAATCAGAAGAAAGCAAAAGGCATGGAGAACAGTTTAGTGATTTTTGGTGATTATGTGAGAAATGTGGTCTTTGTATTTATAGGCAGAGATTGTCAAATGCTGACTAGGATTTGCATTTAAGCGTATAAGTTGGATCCTCATGTCATGTTTTTTTTTTAACTTTTTTAGTTATTGTTATTTTATTAACGAAATTGCGAAACAAAGGCATGGAGAACAGTTTCGAGAAATTGCTTTCCGACCAAAACTGAAAATCAATGTACATTCATATTTTTTTCTGTTTTCCTTTTTTCATCATGGAGTTGTCTGAAAATATGCGAAAGAAAAAAATAAAATCAAAGACATATTATCTTGCATTCATCTAATTCTGAATGTAATGTTTTCTTCAGTTTTACGGAATTTATATATCTTTATTATTTTTCTATCAAAATTGTGTAACAAATGCATGGAAAATCGTATATCTTTTATTTCATTTTTTTAATAATTTATGAAGAAACAGAAAAACAAATATATTATTGTGAATTAATTATGTACTGCTGCGGGCCTGTGGGTCTATTCCAATATGCTCCTCCATAGTGCTAGCTTTTCAGTAATGCGTAATTAGACTAATTGCTGTCCAAGTAATCAAAATTATACACCTATTAAAACTTTTTTTTACAAGTTTTATATCAATACCAAATAAACCCATCGTTTTAAATTTTTTTAACTAAATCTATTCATTTCTAGTAATATTATAAACCAAGTCAATATATATATATATATATGGGTTAAAACTATACTTTTAAAAAAACTATTTAAAAATTTAACTGGTCACTAATTTTTTATTTTAAAACACTATTTTTTTTTACCATGGAATATATTATCATGGTGATCAAGATTCAAGACATTGCACGGTATGGGTGATGGAAATTTTATATATATATATATATATATATATATAATTTTATAGGGACAAATGGAATTTTATTGCGAGGTAATTTATCAATTTTATTTAAAATTTTATAAAATTTATAAAGAAATTATTTTTTAATAAAATAAATGAGGACACATACCCCCATGTTGTATATAAGGTAGGTACGTCCATATATATATATATATAGCCACTGAGTGTGTCCATTGATTTCAAACGGTGGAAATGGAATTAGATGAATGCAAACAATGGTAGTTTCGCCCATGCCTTTTGTTGCAACTTTATAATTTGTTTATAACCATTGAAAGCAACAAACCATTTAATTTTGTGAGTTTTCAGGTACCAAATTCTCTATGCGTTATGTATTTACAAGGAATATACCTTATTTGATTCCAATTCTCGCTACGAATTCCGCATAAATAGAAAATATTTCATATATATATATATAGAGAGATATATTATATTTGGTTAAAATATTTCAAATTCATATTCTTGTTGTAACAATTTAATTAGTCTCAATTCGAAAACGTTATCTTGACTGAATGATTTAACGACTATATATACAAGTAATTATATATACAAAACTAAACTCTACAAACCAAATAAATAGAGAAAAATAGAAAGATTAGAGTGAAAGATTATATAGACATTAATAAAAAATTATAAGAAGAGATTATAGTATGCTAAATAGAAAAATTACACGGAAAATGGGGAGTCCCCCACTTTAGTGGTTAGTGACAACTCCCCTCTACGAGAGGTTGTGGTTTCGAAATCTAGGTATGGAAACTTCCTTTGAGCCGGTCAGCTTTACGAGGCTGGTTTACATGCTATGCGTGGTTTGCCGTCTACTGCGTAGGGTAGTGGGTTTTCTCGGGTCTGCGATACTGTTATGATGTTGTTCTCATCCGGCCCATAGATTAAGAGTAGTTGCGGTGTCCGGTGTCCGACCCAAAGGGTTTTAAGATAGGGTTTCCATCGTAAAAAAAAAATACACGGAAAAGTAAAAGTAAAGTATTCTGTACTTTTTAAAATGTCCAATGCACTGGTTTGCCCTATATATATAAGGGAAAGGGAGATTTATATATAAAAAACTATTTTCCAAAAACATATTTATATGTATATATATGTTTTATATATGTATGGTATATGTATTTTTTTTCTAAATTTTTTATATATATAAGAAATTATTTATTATTTTTATATGAGTTAAATTGTCCAAAAAAACATGTTCTTGAAAAATAGTTTCTTATATATAAAACAATATACGAATAATAAATAGTTTCTTATATATATACTGATTTTTAGGAAAAAAATACATATATTTTACATATATATAAAACATATATATACATATAAATATATAAAATAAATGTACAATTAATTTTGTGGAAAATAAATGTGTAATTGATTTTGTGCTTATAATAATTAATATATGTATATGAATGTGTATAATTTTTAAAATTTTGAAAAGTATAGGGTTTGTTTGGATAAAAAAAAGTATAGGGTTTAAATTGTGATGAAAAAAAAGTAAAGGGTTTTGTTTTGGATTATCCTTTAGGTATATGTTAAAATTTGAAAAGTTTAGTTTTTATTTGTGAATTTCAATATAGTTGAGTATTTAATTTGGAAGTGGGATAGTTAAGTATTTAATTTGGAAATTTGGTTAAAGTTCAATATTTAATATGTGAATCTCCCTAAGGGAAATTAGAACTTTTTCGAAAATTTGCGACAAGACAGATAAGATATCCCGACACAGTGGGATCTATATAATATAATATAATATAACCAGAGTTGAACCGAATTCCTGACGCTGCGGTTTCTTCGTACTCGAGTCATTTTCAACATGTTAAAGGAGTTATATTGCGAATATTTTATATTTTAAAGGAGTTATATTACTAAGGATGCTTAGTTATATTGCGAATATTTTATATTTTTAGATACCATCTTCAAGCATCACTTTCATTTGAAAATTAAATGTCATTTTTATTTAACTATTCATGTATCTTATTGTTAAATTGATAGTGGCATGTCACTCGTGTATTATTTTATAAGTGAACTACCTTATCAGCGTCTTAGCAACCGATGGGCGATTACATGTCATAAGAAACATATGGCGTCAAATTCTCAATTTAATTTATTACATATATATATAGTGTTATTTTTTTTAGATTATCGGGGTTGTTGGCTAAGCGTAATTTATCTTTTATAAATAGTTTGATGATGAGGTGACCACGATAGCTTTCTTACTAGATTTATATTTTGAATTCAAATTACAGCATAATATAAAAATACTTTCATTTCAGTAAAAAAAAAAAAAAGAAGAAGACGATAATTTAAGATAATTTTTTAATTCAGTTTTCAAAATAAAAACCACGTGGTCTTTTAAATACATGAGTAAAATTAACAAGAAAAAAATTGAGAATGTATTCAGCATTGTTCGAATTAAGATAAAATCAAACCAGAATTATATAACCTAAATTAAATTTCTAATATTATCATATATATAGTCTTTTGTATATGTTTAACTAATTTTATAGATCTTGTAATATATGTTTAAATTTACTGGCATATAGTATGTGTGAACCGTATTTAAAAAAATTATGTGTGATGTGTCGAGTACTCGAATCTCTCTTCTCTCTTTCGCGATTTTATCTACTTCCGGAAGAGAGAGAGAATTCTCATTCTCTAGAAAGAAAATATTGAGAAAAAAGAGTGCGTTATCTTTATTGAACATCGAATACAACATATATACATGTGAAATGTATAACATAAATCTAACGGAAACCGTTGTACCGTGACATAATACTAATAGACCCTCCTCAAGCTTATACCAACTCATGAATCTTGCAGAAGGTTCTGAAAAATCTGAGGTTGTAATGCTTTTGTGAACACGTCAGCCATTGATTTTTCGTCTTCACATGCATAAGCTTGAGAAATCTATCCTTCAACTTGTCTCGAACCAAATGACAATCTATATCAATGTCCTTGGTTCTTTCATAAAAAATAAGATTTGTTGCAATGTATGTGGCTCACTTGTTGTCACTGAAGACATTTGTTGTAGGACTGGGTACGGATCGGATATCCGGAGTTTTTCAGATATTTGTATCTGTATCCGATCCGTACAAATATCATATTTTATTATCCGTATCCGATCCGTAATTTTCGGATATCCGTAATTTCGGATATCCGTAAAAATTACGGATATTTGTAATTATCCGTATCCGACACAAAAATAATAAAAATAAAAATAAAAAAAGCTAAAACACAAATAAAATATATAATTAATTCATCAAATACAAAACGATATTCAAATTCAAAATACATGGTATAAACATTCTAAATCAAACCAATTACAAACACATACATAATCTATCGAATACAAATCTATATCTATATATATTAATAAAGGAGTTTAAAGGATTGTGGTGAAGCCACCTCATCATCCACATGGCATTTGATTTAATTTTGATTGGTTATGAAGAGATTATGATAGAATTAAATGAAGAATTTTTAAAATATAAAAATGATTAGTCCAAAATAAATCTATATCTATATATATTAATAAAGGAGTTTAAAGGATTGTGGTGAAGCCACCTCATCATCCCACATGGCATTTGATTTAATTTTGATTGGTTATGAAGAGATTATGATAGAATTAAATGAAGAATTTTTAAAATATAAAAATGATTAGTCCAAAATAAAATTTTAAAAATTAAATAAAAAACTTTTAAAAATAAAGAAATTATGAATACATTTATAAGAAAAATTAATAAAATATAAATATTTGTAATAAAATGTATCGTTATATTAAATTAAATTTATTTATTTATACAATAAATATATTATTATAATCAATATATAATAAATATTTTTATTTATGTATAGATTATGGTAATTAAAATGATAATATTTTATGCAACTGAAGAACATTAATAATTTTGGATTATATTTAACAATCTAATTAAATATTTAGTTGAATAAAAAGTTAAAAGAACTTAAATTGGACAATAAAAACAAAAAACGTATCACTCCATT